ATGTAGTTATTAAAGAATAGCAGTCAAAAGACATATTGTTTTGTTTATTTTAAATATTTTTTTTGGGCCACGTGATTAAGCAGAACGAAAAGAAACATGGCTTACGATACTGTTTTTCTCTCATGCTTGAACCACATATATTGTGTGTCACGAAAACACTCCGTAATCCACTCAAAACGCTATTGAATCCCATTTTCGCATCGCAAATTACCGGTTATAAACGCTGAAGAATGGAAGTTCTAAACATTCTACCAGAAGACGCTGGTCGCTATGGTGCCCTCTATGCAGCAGCCAAGAAAAAGATCTATTATTGTAATAAGTAGGGTTGTAAATTTAAACTGGTCTCACGGTTTGGTTTGGTTTGGTTACGATTATTATGCCATCGATTCGGTTCAATTCGATATCTCGGTGCATTGATGATGCTTTCCATATATAATTAGATTTTTTCTTCATAACACAAGACTTTTTTTTAAATAAAAATCTATAAATATATTAATATTTACGTATTATTTGTAATACAATTTTGTTCTTTAAAACAGCAGTAAGAACTGTACCCTTAATTTGACCTGTTCAAAGAAAACACTCTTTCTAAATGTATCAAACAAAACTCCAACACATGCACAGAAAACAGTATGAGCATTTTTTAGCAAATAAACTCATGTAAATATTATCCCACTTGCTTTTTGAGTGCTGACAGGCGAAGTCTTACACCCCTATGATTGGTTATTGTCTACACCTGCTCAACAGAAAGGGCTGTGATTGGCTTTAGAAACGAAAGCGCTGTTCACCGATGGCCGCGGACAGCCGTGGTTACAGTCTGTATGCGCACAATACCCGGTTATCACAGGTAATCTATAATAGACACAGTGGAGAAGACTCGCACCACAGGCACGGTTGTGTCTGGATCCACAAGTATTGCTTTAACAGCCAAGAGGAGAAGAAAAGTTACTTCACAAACATGCCAGCGGGTTAAATGTCCAAAAGTGAGAGAGAGAGAGAGAGAGGTAAAGATGCAGTTTTACAGCATTTCTCCGTAATGGTGAAATATGCCGCCTTCATTGTTGTAAGAGCATTATTTACTCGCCCTCGGCCTCCTTCGCCATAGTATTCCACTGTGACATCGTGCATAGGAGATAAATGACGTCAGAACGTAATAACCGGTTATGATCTATTACTGAACCGACATCAATAATTTTGACACCCCTAGTAACGAGTAACAATGCAGCACATAAAAAATGTATCGGAGTAAAAGTATTAAACTCATCAAAAACATGTACTGAAGTAAAAGTGGAAGTGGAAGTAGGAGAAAAAACAATTCTCCATTAAAGTACAGATACAGCGTTTTAGTACAGTACAGTAGTGAAGTAGTTCTACTTGGTTACTTTATATCTCTGACATGTGTGAATGAACAAATCACCTGAGAGTACTCAAGTACTTATTATTCTCGAATCATACAAAATAAATGTGAAAAATGAAACCGTTTAAGAACAACACATCACTAATGCACGCTGTCTGTAAACGTCATGCCTAGGTGCAGAATTTACGTAACTTTTAGGGTTTTTGATGTCACAAACCCATGAAAAAGTTTGTATCAGTAATTTGTGGTCTGCCTTAAAAAGCTAATTCTATAAAAGACTATCTGCACTAAACTTTGACCATCAGAGCTTTGTAACATTCACTAACAATGCTATAAAAGTGAAATTATAATCAAAGTCCTCTCTCTATAATCAAACTCTCACCTGTACTATGCAGTGCTCTGTAAATGGACTAGACAGCCAGTTCATTTACACATTTGCATCCAGTGTGTTTTATGTGTGGTTTGGGAAATTTACAGTCACAGGTATGAGTTGTATGTATTTGAAAGTTTAGGGTACATTTACACAACTACAGTGAAGACCAATATTAGAGAACTATATTTAAATACTTAATTTGTCCCTGAAAATAAAAAAAAATAAAAAATTTAAACACTGTGATCAGAATGAGACTATCAAAAATATAAAGATTTATCACGATTTGAAGAAATTCTATCAAGAAAAGTTGATGCTGGACCATCAGTTCTTTTAAGAACAAAGTCATTCTCAGCATAAAATGCAAAAAAAATGCGAAAGTCTTGTAAGTTTGCATGGCTATTTCAGAAATATTTTACCCTCACAATCAAGGTGTAGCAACATTATTAAAATTATGCATTTGAATAACACTTTAAATTATACATCTTTAAATTAATTGAGACTATCTATTAATGCAGGATAGGTGATGACAACTGTCTGAGGGCTCCCAGTGCTTACAATTATTCATATTACGTAATTCATACAACAAAACAAAATCATAATGCCTTAATCACCAAAATCATTTTTTGTGTTGAATTATATAATGAAAAGAAAAAAGCTCTGAGCCGAGTCATTTTCAGCTAATTATTTTTTGTTATTTTTTTGTAAATTGGAGTGTGTGCAAAGGACTGTGTGGGTGATTGAAGAACGCCAAGAATGCACGATGCATCCTTCAAGACAAACAATGTAGGATGCGAATCGAAGACTACCTACTGAGCATCCTTAAAATTAAGACATCTTTCGACTGAGCTTGATGACGTTGTGGCCTAGATATGGCATAAGAAGCACCTACTGTATAGTCCACTGTTGTTATTTTGCTTGTGTATACTTTTGCAGTTAACACAAAGAAGATTGCAATATTGGTTATTACATTTTTAAAAGTTAGCGTTTCCACTAAAACTCCATTGTCATATAGAGTAACGACTAAAACTATAAAAAAGTTTTCCACTTTTACTTGAAAAATAAAGATCAAGTTCCTGACCATCACTGGAGCTGCTCACTCAGTTTTGTCAAACGCTTTACTCTTTCCAAGGCATGAAAGCTTCTGTTGGTTAATTAAGTTATGGTCGATGAAATCATGCATCAGATAAACCTGTGTTGCCTCAAATGTGATGACTTTGCATTTTTTACATAGCTATATTTAATATTTACCTTTATGCTTTGCCTATATGCTTTAAAGAGCCCATATTAAGGGTTACTTTTGAAAATGATTTTCCATACAGTGTGTAACAGCTCTGAGTGAATTAAAACATCCAGCTGAGGTTTAAATCTGAAAATACACATTGTTTAAAAATGTAAATTTTTAAATAAAAGATTCGACTTAGAATCGTTTAAATGATTCATTGTTTGTCTGGATCTTTTGCCTGTTCGTATCGACGTTGACACAAAACAATACCACATATGAAGTGACGGATCCGGTAAAACGTGAACACATCTTTCCTTTCAAACCCTAGCTGAGTGCAGGTGGATGTGTGATACATCTTGACTAAAGATGAGTTATTTTTGAATGAACACTCTGTTGGTTAATGCAATAATATATCCTGACGAGGAATTCATGGGTCATTCGTTAAAGGAAAGATCAGAAAAAAAAACTGTTGTTGTATCGGACTTTGTCAGAGCTTGATAGCAACTTTATTAGCACACAGTACATGGATCAGTTTCTTCCTTCAGTTCACAAGTGTAAGTGTGATTAAAATAGTTGCCTCCTTATTTTCTCTAGCTTGCAAAATATGTAATAAATTTAGTTATTTCTAATCACTCCCTGAGATTTGAACTGTATCTTGATAACTCTTTATATTCACATATTGTGTCTAATGCCATGTTGAAAATGTGACACGAGCTGCTTTCTTTACCAATTTAAATGCCTTTGTGAGCTAGCGATCCTCTGCCCTTTGTCATTGCAATGGCAACCATCAGCTGTTCCTACACTTGTGTGGCGGTCAAGTTACGAAATAATTCATAGATTAATATTGAATGTGTGTAGTTGTTTTTAATTATATTTAGGAATAAAGCGATATTCTGGTGTTTAACTGCATTGCTTTAATGCACTCCTGCATTGGGCTCACACATATGCTCTGTGCTCTGGCTACTTCAACAATGTTGAAAAGCCATGGTGAGCGATTCTCTCTATATCTCGCTGAACGCAGTCAACCAATCCCAATAGATTGGGTCATCGGACCAATTAGCACAGATTAGCATCGTGCTAAGGAGAGCTTTGGGAAGAAATAAAGCGCTGAATGAATCATATGGGAGTCGTTAGGATAATTAGATAATATTAAATGCATATTATAAGACAATGAAAGCGTTTTTTTTTTACTTGCATGCATATCAGCCTGTTGTTGGAGACACCAAAACCAAAATATTACCATTTTTAATGCATAATAGGGGCTCTTTAAAGGTACAGTAATAATCAAACAGAATATGTTATTAAAGGTGTAATTTACCTAAAACTGAAAGTCCTGTCATCATTTACTCACTCTTCACCGCTTGCTAACTGGTTTGAGTTTCTTTATTCTCTTGAACAAATAATTAAAAAAAAGAAATGTTAACTTATACAGTAACTACTGACTTACAAAGTATTTGTTTCTCCTACTATGGATGTTAATGGTTTTTAGCTTTCTTTAAAATATCTTCTTTTGCGTCTTCAAGACAGGTTGGAAACCAGTGAAGAGTGAGTAACCAAAGCCTGATTTCACCAAGTAGGACATGTTCCTGGATCTTTGTTGATACAGCATTCCAATCAGCCAATCAGAATTAAGGGATACATTTACCATTTATGTTAAGTTTAGACTTATGGTTAGTTTCAGGCATTTCTACTTGAGTGTTATCCAACTGTTTTTCCTCTCTGATTTTGGGAACAATTTACAGTTATGGTTGGGTTTAGGGGTAGGGAATTATGTTTTCCAACAAAAATGATGTTCTGGAATCAACATAGATGTTAATCCAGGATTGTATCGTACTTGGCAAAATCTTGACATGCGGTTGAGTAAATGGCTAAATAGCTACAACAACTTGAGTGCGAGAAAACAGTGAGTAAAATGATCCATTGCTTTAAACTCCACGTCTTGTTGCTGTGTGAACAGGACATTTTGAAAATCACATCTAGAAGTAAATCTAGAAGTACAAAGACACAATTTGAGACATAAAATATTGTAAGCAAAACATTTATCTTACCATCAGTTGTGGAAGACTTGAGTCTCTGACATAGGCCTTCTACATCTGTAAAGCTTTCCTGGATTTTCTGCAAGGCTTCAGCTCCTCTCAGCTCCATCAGGTTCCGGAGCTCATCCAACGACACCCCGAAGTCACCAGCATGGTTGGCTTCTGCGCCTCCTCCACCCCGCTTGGGGTAAAACTCCACCGTGCTGTTGGCCATATCACCCATGGTCGCCGTAGTGGACATCTTGAGTCTTAAGGTGATCGGTCCCTGATGTTTGATCTATATGAAGTCTTCTACTTTTTAGCAACGTGAGGCCAGTCTTACTGGCTTAATTAATTTTGATTTTGAATTGGCTTCTTTACTCCTCTCTCCCTCCCCGGTAGTTCCTCCCGTTCTTCTAACTCTCCATCAGATGAACCAATCGGGACAACATCAGCCGGACACTTATAGCGTTTTCAAAGAAATCCTATCCTCTCCACTCAACCCCCTCACCCCGAGGGTCAACAGAACGAGGGATCGGGCCACTTCCAATCCATCAGGACAACGAGAACGAGGGGCGCAAAACCGAAAAGGATGTTTTGTAGATCTGCAGCACTGATGCGTTAGGATTCAAAGGAAGTGGAATGTTGGGATTGGCGAGGAAGCCTGCAGAGACACACAGACAGAATAACACATTACAGTCTTCAAAGTGCTCGTGTGGGCAGCAACTCGGAGTACAGTGGGCATTCCTTAAGAGACAGAGCAGGCATACAGTCAGACGGCTCCGAGCGAATGCTTTTAAACGTATCAGCACATTTTCACCTCAATTCTAAAGGTCTTTTGTGTTTTAATTGAGTCACACTCTTCTCTTACTCCCATTAATGAGGTATCAGACAGGTCGCCGCAATAATAATTACACTAAACGGATTTTGTGGCCATTTCATGAGCAACACAAGCGAAATCCCTGGACATACAGTGAGGTATACTGTATGAGGGATGTGTGCTTTCACAGATGGCGATGCATATAGCATATACTGTATCTCTAGCGATCCAGACCACTGCATTGGCCCATAGTTGCCATGGCAACATACAGATGCCTCTGACTCCCGCAAAGCTCCTTCGGCCTCACTATACCCCAACACACACACACACACTTACATGTACATTTGGTTTTTAATCGCACTCTAACACTAGCTATTTATGTGGCAGCTAGATAACCGACATCAGCTATTGATACCATTTAGGCTCTAATACTTCTTCATTCTCTCCATCTCCCAGCATTCCTCTGTCCCTGCATTCTCTTAGATGACAGTTTGAGCCTCAGACGGCACACCCACAGACACCCACGGCCCGTTCACTGAGCTTCTGATGCACGGACCACACACAACAATGCAAAGTACTTTTTTCAATGTGCCAAAGACTAATCTGATTGGCTGAGTGCAGGTAGCATCCAGGAGTAAAAGCACACCGGTTTTTTTTTTCAGCTGTCTGCAAAGTGAGCTACAAGGTTGATAAATTGGTTTATCAAAAAATAATAATAATAAATTATATAAGTATGCACTGGTGCCACCCCTTCACTCTTGTGTATTGCCACAAACAGTGACAAGCAGAGGATACTCTAATGTAGTTTTGAGATTTTTTCAGGCAAGAATGTAGTTGTTTAGATAGCAACAATGCAGTTTAATTACAAAGATAGTGCCTATTTTAGATTATTTTATAATTTCGGACCACATAACATGTCCTTAGGGGAGAAAAACAGCATAATAGAGCATTTTCTCAGCATAAAATTCAAACTACAGCTGAACAAAACATTGTAATCTGGTAAGTGACATTCTAAGTTGATCCCTCCTTTATATTTTGTATTGCTGTATTTATACCACAGAAACTGGTGGTGTTTGCTTTGCTCTGGCTTTTTTGGGTTTAATATTATTATTATTATTGTTATTATTATTATTTGTATTATTATTTGTAATATTATTATTGTGATCCCCCGATCGCAACAGAGAAATACAGGAAAATCTCTGTAGACTGATGGCATTTCATGCCGTTCAGCCATATAATCTTAAAATGTCAGCAAAGTCACCTGTTTTACCATCACTTTAGATAGTATACTAGAGAATCATTCAAATAGTAGATCTTAAGTTTGTGAACTGGCAACGGCATCTGCTGTTCTGACTTCAGCTGCAGATGTGAATGAGTGCTAGAAGAAAGTAGTTCCTCATACAAAAAGGGTTATTGAGACTCTCTGTGTTTGATTTTATTTTTTATACAGACACAACGGGGCACAACGCACGCTTCCCATCAGTGCCGACATACAGCCACATCGCACTGCTACTCATGTGATATGACTTAATATATATACACAGTTCTATATACAGTACATACTTATATATATATATATATATATATATATATATATATATATATATATATATATATATATATATATTTTTTTTTTTTTTTTTTTTTTTTTAAACAATGCAAAAATGAACAATTGTTTTTTTTTCTATACTTGTGGTATAATATATAATATACTTCAGATAAACTTGTCGATTAACTTAATTGTCAGTCATGGAAAATAGCTGTTTAGGCAACAATTTGAGAAACTGTCCTTTTATAATCAAAATAGTAACTATATTAAATGATTATGAAATTATATATATATATTATATATATATATATTTATAACATGTAAAGTAAATTTTTTTTTACAATTTAAAGCAAATATTTATTTCATTATGGTGGATCATTTTGATAGCAGTAGTGGTTGATGAATTTGCATAAAAATCAGGGTTTGTCTGTTTCGGTGGAGTTTTGGTCTAATTGAACTTCAATAGTTCAATTACAACATTTGATTAATTTTTTTCTTTAGAAATGCGCTTTTGAAGACATCCTTACTGGTGTCCATCTTGAAACAAAACAACCAGCGGTTGATGTACCAGCATTTTTAAATACTATATAAATTAAATAACATTAAAATAATTTCTTGATTACAAAATATTTTAAAAATTTAACATTTGAAATTAATTGGTTTAATAAAACATATCTGAATGTACAAAAAAAAAAAACGAAGAATGGTTGATTGTATTATTGACAGTTTGTCCAAGAAAAGGGTGTTTAGGTATAAACAATTTTTTAATCCAAAAACATTTTGATTACATATTTATTTAATTACCCAACTATTTTATTTAAAAAATGCATAACCTTCATTGGTAAAAATCCAGTAAAAACAAATAAAATTATGTTTAATTATCAAATTATGTGGTAATTATCAAAATGTAAAATATTAAAATTATAACAAAAATAATTCCAACAGTAATTATTCATTCATTTATTTTCCTTCAGCTTAGTTCCTTTATTAATTTGGGGTCGCCACAGCGGAATGAACCACCAACTTATCCAGCATATGTACTACACAGCGGATACCCTTCGAGCTGCAACTCAGTGATGAGAATCACCCATACACCCCCACATACACTAAAGACAATTTAGCTAACCCAATCCACCAAAAGCGCATGTTTTGGACTGTGGGGGAACCCGTAGCTCCGAGCGGAAACCTATGCCAACACAGGAAGAATATGCAAACAGAAACACAGAAACGCTAACTGACCCAGCTGGAGCTCGAACCAGCAACCTTCTTGCTGTGAAGCGACAGTGCTAACCACTGAGCCACAGTGTCACCCATTTCAGTAATTATTTATAATTTATTTGACTAAAATGCAACATCCATATATGCAATAAAACCAAATTAGTTAGGTAGTTAAAATCAGTTGATCTATTCCAGTCTAAGCTCATGGTGGTACTTGTACTAAGCTGTGATATGGACCAGGTCTCATGATGTTCAGTCAGAATTTGTCTATCTGTCTATACGAGTCTGCTTGTAGGGAGATGAGTGTGGGGTAATGCAGCAGCATTGAGCTGTGTGTGTGTGTGTGTATGTAGGCAGTGTTCAAGAGTGACACAGAGGGTGTCATCACTCTCATGCTGACTCACTAACCCCAGTCTTCCTGCACCCTCCGCTCTTCTGCATACATGCACACACACACCATCCATCAGCTTCTGCACACATTTAACACATCACCTGGGCTCACATGGGCAAAACCTCACTCTGGCTGTGGATACCTCTCATCTTTGACATTTTTTTTATATTTAGATGCTTTTATTAACATTGCATTGGAGACGCACATTAATAAGTTCTTGGGTAATTAAATACATTTTTTGAGATCCAGTAGAGGAAGATCAAACTGCATTGATTTTGAGGGGATAAACTACAGAATTGATTTAACCATGGTATAATGCAGTATGTGTTAAAGATATACGTAAAAGAATTATGTTCTTACTGGTAGCTTAAAAATGATTTAAAATACGGTATATCATACAACAAGCAGAGTACGTGTTAGCCTTATGCACCTAAACAGCACAACAAAAAGTCTGGCCTTCGTTCCAGCTTATTGTGGCCAAGAACCACCTACTTAGATGGAAATATACTGTCTGAATGATGTGTAAAGTAACCATCTATGGTTTATTTTGTGGTTATAGCCAGAGGTAACCTGAAAAAAAATAACATTATAAAGTTAAAAGTGTTAGCTCTGAATTCCTATTTCTTTTTTTTTAAATATTTCCCAAATGTTGTTTGAAAGAGGAAGGTAAATTTCAAAGTACTTCTGATAATATATTTTTTTCTTTTGGAGATAGTGTTATTATTTTATTTCGGCTAGAATGAAAGCGTTTAAAAATAAAAAAATTAAATAAAAACATTTTAGGGTTAATTTTATTAGCCCCCTTAAGCAACATGTATTTTTAAATTGTCTACAGAACAGTTATACAATGACTTGCCTAATTAACTTCATTGATAGTTAAGCCATTAAAATATTGTATGACAAAAATTACATTTTTTGCACTATTACTAAAATAATGATCAGGGACAGTTACAGTATATATTACAACAACAAATCAGAAAAAGTTGGGACAGTATGGAAAACAAAAACAAATTTGATTTCTAAATTTACTTTGATTTGTATTTCATTACAGACAATACAAAAAACATTATTTAATGTGTTGCTCATGTTTTTTTTTATTTTATTTATTTATTTATTTATTTATTTATTTATTTATTTATTTATTTATTCATTCATTCATTTATTTATTATCAAAATAAACACATTCCAATTTTGGTTCTTGCAACACATTTAAAAAAAGTTGTTTTGAAAAAAAAAAGCCGTTTGGGGCTTGTAATCAGGAAAATT